ATGATTAAGTTTTTTTTCCCTAAAGCATTATAACGTACTTTACTTTAACTAGAATTAAGTTCCTGAATTGTATCAAGGCTTCTGTGCATCTGTTTTTGAGAACAATTTAGTTTCATTGCATAATTTCATATTATGTTTTCTTGTGAATATTTTAATGATACATTTTTGCATAATTTAATATTGTTATGATAATTTCATTTTGTAAAAGCTATATAGTTTGAAACGATGTTTCAATGCCGGGCGGAATGTTTCGGCCACCAGAGCTCTCTGCCTGTCTGTGAAATATTATTTCGCAATGCGTAGATTGTATGCACAACTCGCATTTTGTTCTTGCATTCTTAAAACCACTAATTGTAACTCTGTCGTTTTTACTTTGTGCTGTGTTGTGTTCAAGAGCTCAAACTGCCAAATAAAGGTTAATTTACAGTCCACTCGCATTGATGTATTCTTAGGTTTATTAATTTAAAGTTAAGATACCGCTTCACTAATATTTTTACTCTTAATATTATTTCCAATTGGTCCAGAGAACAGAAATTGGAATTCAATCCTAATAAATCTAAAATTATGATAATTAAAAGAAAGCTTGTCAGTTATACAAACCAACAATTGTATTTGGATAATACCTTACTTGAAACTGCGAATGGCGAATGAAATTAAATATTTAGGTGTTATTCTTGATCATAAATTTTGTTGGAAAAATCATATTATGTATTTATTCAATAAGTGTGAAAATATACTTAAAGGACTTAATCGTGTCTCTTGCAATACTTTTGGTTTAAAATCTAATGTTATTGATATGATTTATAAGCAGGATATTGTCCCCTTTATTTGCTATGCTTCTAAAGTGTGGGGAACAGCATTAGAAAAGAAGATTAATTCGCAGAATTCAAAGAAGAATTTTACTAAGAGTTGTGCGTGGCTACAGAACAATTAGCTATGAAGCCTGTTTCGCAATTTCAGGATTTCCTCTGATTGACCTTCATGTTTTAAATGACAAAAAGTTTAAAGATACCATCAGCAAATTTATGTTCGATACCAAAGTGTTGTTTGAAGATCCTCATCCTGCCAATTGTTTGCCAATTCAAACTATCATTTATGACAATTCTGTTGATGATAATTTCCCTGTTGTGTGTTATACAGATGGCAGTAAAATTAATAATCGAGTTGGATTAGCTTATGCCATTTTCCATCATGGTTCTAAACTGGAATACAAACTCTTTAGAATTCCCATGAATGCAGTGTTTTCCAAGACGAATTACTGTGCATTAGTGAGTCAATTAAGTGGATATCTAACAACTATTCGCTAAGTACTAAATTTCTTATTCGCATTGATTCCCTTTCATCCTTATATTCTCTTAGGAATATCTTCTCATGTAATAAATTAATTGTCACTTCTCATGCCCTTCTTAAAGACCTTAATAATAAAGGTGTTGATGTTATTTTTTCTCATGTACGTGGCCACACTGGCAATCTATGAAATGAAAGGGCTGATTGGTTGGCAAAATAAGCTACACATCTTCAAGTAAATACTCCAATGATACTTCTCAAGTCATTTTTCAAGAACAAAATAGGGAGGATACAATACTCAAGTGAAATGAACTATACAGGAATTCTACTACTGCCTCTTTGACTAAACTATATTTTCCTTCCATTCCTCACAGATTGAATAATAAACACTTTTTCTGCAATTTTGAGGTTACTCAATTTCTGACTGGACATGGTAAATTCAATTCATATCTGAAGAGATTTAGATTATATGGTACAGACTTGTGTTCATGCAGTTTCGGGGGAGTGCAAAATGTCGAACATTTGTTCTTCTATTGTTCAAAGCTCAAGGAAGAAAGAAAAGAACTCATTTCTAGGTTAAAACTCTGTGAATATTACATTTCCTTCCCCTCTTCACGTATATGTTTGATATAAAATGGCTTTGGCTTTCTCTTTCTTCTGTAAATTTATCTCCATACGTGTCATCTGTGAATTTGTAAGATTATTTTATTTTGTGTTGTGTTGTTGTATTTGTTTGTTTTTTTTACTTACCTCTGTAAGTCTTGTGTAATACTATGTGGTGCACAAGGAATTTAAAATTTTCAATTTAGGAAAAAAAATAGAAACTTTATATCGAAAAAAAGAAAAAAAAATGCATCCTGATTTAAGGTGTCTAAAAATTGTCTAACACCACTTTTGTAAAGTATGACTTTGGACTTAATGGCAAAAACCCTTGTTAGTTTATAGATCTTTAAATCCATGTGCACTTAACCCTTTCCGGCACGCTACCTTTTAAACTCCGAGTTTTTATTTAAAAAAAAAAAAAAAAAAAAAAAAGATAGGCATTCTAATGAGGCCTAGAGGAGTACACAAGTAAAATTTTGTGAAGATAGCACTTATCGTTTTAATTCTGTGGGTGTGCCCAAAGTGGCACACTGATTGAATAGTGCTTCAAAAAGAATGCTGAAACAGGCATTGTTGTCAATGAACTGACCGATGAGATGCGGAGAAACAAAGAATACAGACTCTCAGTTGTCCTAGATTATCGATGAGCCCGTTTTGGGCACACCTAGAGTTCGCTGTTTGATTTTAGGCAAGATTTCAAGGTAAAAATTTAAAACTAATACAGAATAAGGAGATTAGCATACAGCCAAAAAAAATAACATAGAAATTTCTTTTCAAACGTTTTTTTTAGAAAAAAAAATCTGCAAGATTTCTTTGAAAAATGAGGGTCTTAAAAAACTAAACATGGCTAAAGTATATGGACTGGTTTGTGTTGAGCTGCCATCTACTATAAATAAAGAAGGTTCAGAGTAACCTATAAATCCTTTTTCATTCAATTTTTCTTTGCGTACAGAAGGAAATTTTTAGGTGTGTCCAGACCAGACACACTGTGCCACAAAGGGTTAAAGGCGTAAATAAAAATACCTTACCGGTATATTGGAAAGCAAATCCAAGAGCTTGGGTAGCTGAGAATATATTTAAAGAGTGGTTTTTAAATTGTTTTGTGCCAGATGCTGAACATTATTTAAGGAGGAAAAGTTTGAGCTTCAAGGGGTTTAATACTATTAGATAATGCTCCATGTCACCTACAAGATTTGAATCATCCCAATGTGAAAATACTATTCCTACGACCTAACACTACTTCTTTACTCAAACATTGAATCAAGGTATTATTTATACCTTTAAAACATATTACATAAGAAGAGTATTACAGTAGATTTTAGACGTAACCGATTCAAAATCAATGTAATTGAAGCTTGGAAGGCATTTTCAATCAAGAACTGAATCGACATTGTATCTTTGTTGCTGAAAGAACTGAAAGTATCAACGTTAAATGCATGTTAGAAGAAGATATGACCCTCTTCAGTTGAATAGAAAACGTCTGTGAATCGTCAGAAAATGAAGTTGATGGCATATTATAACTTGTTAAATCACTCGGAGGCGAAGGTTTTGTGAACATGGCTATTGAAGATGTTCAAGATTTATTAGCTGAAGAAGGATTTGACAAAGCTTTGATAGAAATGGCATCCGAAGCTGTAAATCAAATTGCTTTTGAGAACACTACCACTGATGAAGATTGTGAAGTTAATAATTTAACATTAAAAAAATTAAAAGAAGGCCTACGCTTAGCTGAAAATCTCGAGTTATTTATCTTGAGTGCAGACCCTTCTGCTGAAATAAGCCGAAAATTCAAAAGGGAGCTGCAAAACTGTCTAGCTCTATATCGAGAAATTTAAAATGACCCGGTAAGAACTAGTAAGCAAAGTAAAATTACAGATTTTTTAAAGAGGGAACAAAATGCCAGAACTTCAAAAGAAAAAAAAAATTCTGAAAGTGAAAGTGATCTCATTCCACCGAAAGAACGTTCTCTGTTGATTATGCTGAGCAATGACAACGAAGAAATTTGTTAAACTATAATTTTATTAAATTAAATCTGATTATACTGAGCAATGACAACAAAGAAATATATTAAACTATAGTTTTGTTAATTTCGTAATATTTTTAAATAAGTTTTCGGAACGTAACCCCCCTTTTTACTGACTCTGGTTCTCATACAACACAGCATTTTCTAGGAACGTATCTACCGTGTTATATGTGTGTTACCTGTACTTTGAAAGAAAGAATTGCTTAATCTCGCAACCACCAAAAGTTAAGATCCCCTTACTCTACTTGATTATGCAAGCTGTTTCTTAGTCTTTGCCTGCATGCTAAGAGTCATTATTATTTTACAAATATTTTCCCATTTAGAGATACTTTGATCATCAAAATTATTTTAATCAACCAAATTTATTAAAAAAATTACTGTAATCAAGTTCATATTCATATGGGTTCATATTCAGTTTATTAATGTCACCTCATAATACCACTAATATTTTCTATTTGGGTTAAATTTAGGGATTTAGTATCATACTTGTACTTACTTCACAGGCATTCCTGTAAGATATTGGGACATCCCATAAACAATGCAGTTTTCTTACACTTCTTATATTTTCTAAAATTTATGTAAACAAAGTTCTTTTTTAATTTAAGATGTACTTTCTTTTGTTATTTCTTATTTATTTTGATGGGGTTTTGTTCCACCAGGGTTTGCAGGACATTTTCATTGAGCTCTACAGATCTTCCAGGAAGAGACGGCTTTTCCCGTACATTGCAGTTTCTTGCTTAGAAATTCTGAACCCACTGACACTGGTTTATATTTATTGTCCAATCGCAATATACTCCATTGATATCCCTATTAATAATCATTTCACTGAACTCATAAAGCAAAATGTGCTAAATATGAATTATATTTTTTATCAGGCTTAAATCTGTATTTTTAATATATATATATAATATTAGCATAATTTTTTAGTATTGAAACTGATACAAAGTTAAAACTTTTTTTCATAGTGAAATAGGTGGGAACATAAAAATAGTTCAGTTTCTTAGAATAATTGATGTATAAATTTCCATATTGTGTTATCGTTTTTATTTTACTGCCATTTTTTTTAAATCAGTTATTTACATTATAGGAAGACTCTGGTGCCCTTCAACATTTATTAGATGCTTTGAGTAGTGGTTGTCCTCCACATGGTGGCATTGCCCTTGGTAAAGTATCTTTGAGTTATTCCTATAATCTTCAAATCATGTTCAGTAGCCGTCAGAATTAGTATCTGTAAAGCTTTTCATTTCAATAATATATTTCTAGTATGCATTTTGCAGATACCTTTTAATATAAAATATAATGAATCAAAATATAAAACCAAAAAAGTTGGTATGAAAAATATGAACTATGTTGGTTTGAAACAGTATTATGTGTATAATGATAAGACTTAAACATAATGCATATCAGCTAATAAAACAAGTGTATTAAATTTAATTATATTTCTTGTAGTTTAATCAACAGCAAGATTCAGACGTTAAACTTATAATAGACTTAATATAAGTTTAATCTGGTTAAAAGACTATTCAGTCAAATTTAATTCCATTATAAGAAAAAGGAATTACTGTTTGTCTGAAACTTATGAAACCATTTAGGTTCTAAATAAGATATAATATTTTCAAAGTGAAAGAACATGGTTGTTGTTTAAAAAAGGTTTATTTCCATATTACTACATAATGGCTATTTCTTTATCAGTGATGAAATTTGATATTCAGAGAAGTTATTGCATCATATGTGTCATATGGAGTGTTGGACTTGCTTAACCTTCTGACTGCTAAATTTTTTTATCAAAAATTGCATAATTTTACAACATACTTCAAACCTGCATGTATAAAATAGTTAAAATATGTAGCACAGTTTTGTAACCAAGATTTTTTTAATATAGATTTCGTGCATAAGATTAGGCTTTCATAAAAATTTTAAGAGTAATCACATAATGATAAGTATTTGGAAAATGAATTTTGATTAATTTATCATTTAGTTTATGCAAAGTATCTATGAATGATGAAAAAGTATAATGAAAATCTTCAATATTTACACAAATTACACTAGATATTAAGATTCATATGGTAAAACTCAAAATAAGGTTTCAGGCAAAGTCCTATTTCACATTCTTTGTAACAAATTTGAATTTCTTTGTGAAATTTTTTGCCAGTTGAAGTTTTTTTGGAGCAACAAACACTGTCGGCAAGGCTGTTTTATGGGATTAGGAGGTATGTTGCTTGCAAAATAATGAGTTGTCAATCTCAAAGAGTTGAAAGCAGAACTTTTTAAGTCTTCCAGGTATACCACATTTTTTAGAATTCAGAACAATCCAAAATAGTTATATTTTTTGTCATATTTATGGTTATTCCTGAAATGCCAAGAAAAATAACCGAGGCAGAAGCTAATAATCTTTTTCATGCCTATTTTGGATAGTTTATTGAATCATTTTCAGATTCAACACTGTCTGGTGATAAGTCCAAGAAATAATAATCTATTTTGCTACTGCTATCTTCAAATAATTAAATTCAGTTTCAGTATCAGAAATATCATAAGGAACATATTTTCTATCAATCATTCAACATTTCCCGCAAGCCATATTCTGAATGTAAAAAACGAAAATGATAGCAGTGGGGGTGCTTGCAAAATCAGTTACTATACTCTGTGCAAATTTAGGCAACAACAATGTGATTTGTAGACCAAAAGACTCATAGTCTAAATATTGTAGAAAAATATATTATCAATGATTAAACAAGATAAGCAGTCTAAGGGTTAAACTAGTAAAATTTTGCTGTTACCTTCAATATATATTTGAGCTTGCAAGTAACATCTTATAATATCTTCAGTATTTTCTATTGGAAATCAATCTAAGGAAATAGCAGCACATTACTACTTCTCACACATCCCTGTCAGTCCAATGCAAAAAAGCATAATCCTCCTGGTACCATCACGCATGCAGTGACAATATGGCAAAAGAAAGTACTACAGCAGACTGGACCAATTATCAAAGCTGATTACTAATAAAATCATAATATCAATTCATTCTTATCTAGTTTTTCCTCTCTGTCATAATAGCTCTGTATATCTATCTGGCAACTGATGGAATATATGCAAAAATTTGATTCATCATTGAAAGTAACTTAGTCATAGTACAACCTGTGTTATTAATCTAAGTGCAATCAATGATGAATGGAGGCAGTAATAAGAAGTGAAATAAACATTGCAGAAGCAATTCTACTTCCAAAAGAAACTAGAAATCATTTGGTGGATGAATTGAAGATTAATAGTATCGATCACTGCTTTCTGGTAATCAGCTGAGATTTGCTGTTAAAGTATTAATTAAACTAGTTGACATTTTGCTGCAGTTTCAGCTTTAGAGATGTAAGTATTTCTCTTAAACATCTCTAGACTACATCATTATTCCAGTCAACTTATGCTGCTGTGAATAAATAGATCATCCAGTTCCATGAATACCACCTCCTTTCTCAGGGCCCTTTACTTAGTTATATTCTTTCTAGCTATATGTTCTAGGCATTCTGAACAATGTAATCATTTTTGATGAACACATAAACAATAAATTGCTTTTGTAAATATTACTTTTGCAGATATGCAAGGAAAATCTGAAGAATTCTTAGTTTTTCTCTATATTAATTACAGTGTCGTAGGGCTGCTATGACATTATAATCAACTGCAAAGGATACTATTATGTATCCAAATTTTCTGTAAAACTAAACAGGCGTTTTTGTGATTTGCAGTTTTAATTTAACTCAAATTACATGAGGTATAATCAGTTCATTGGCAAATGGTTACAGGAAATAATGATGAGGAAATTTATGACAGCCATTAAAATATTTTTATTAATATTTAAAATATTTTGACGCCTGGTGGCACAGTAGCTAGTGCATCGAGCAGCACCTCAGGTCTGGAGTTCGATTCCCAGACTGAGCAAGGTCAACTCAGCCTTTCATCCCTTGATTTCCATCACTTGGGTCGATAAAATGTGTACCAAGTACCAAGATCATTTGGGGACTAAACACTGGAGGTCCTGCAACAAGTGACCACTTGTTCAGAGCATATGCTTACCCCAAGGCCCACAGTCAAGAAAGCAGATTTCGAGCACTGCAGGCCTTGGCCCATTGGGACCGTTATGCCACTGAATTTAGTTTTATTTATTTTTTTAAATTATTTTTATTACTATTAAAATATTTACAGTTACATAGCTGCTTCTCCTTTCAGAAGGAAAATAAATGTATGGATTAAAATGGATGCATACTTAATCATTTTTTATACCTTTAAACAATGGATCATTTGACTTTTCTATTCTACTACTGTTGTACTTGTACTGATTCTAAACAGCTAATGTCATTAAATTGTACTGAATAGTATAAAAAATAAGCAAAAACATATACAAAATCTAAATAAATTTAACCTCTCTACCTAATTTAATATTTTACATTAGTGTGTGCCTCTTCCAAATAAGTTGTTGTTTCAATTTATAACAGCAAGTTTTCTATATTTTTTAAACCCAAAGGGTCATTATCCCAGAAGGGCTGTTATGAACGTCTGGAAACGTCATTTTGTGCCGGATTATTATAAATGTTATGTAGTGGAGCAAAAACAATTTTACTTTACACCTGACTGCCACTGGCTCCGACATAGCAATGTGAATACTCTACATCTAAAATTTAAACACCATTCCAGAATTTTAAATGATTATTTAATAGAATTCTATTCATATATTTTCAAGTTATACACTATAAACACAATAACAAAATTTGAACTTATCTGCACCAGCGTGAATAAGCATGGCATAATATTCTGAACTCGACGCAACTTTAGGAGGAAAAATACTGCAAATTCAAACACAAGGTTTCATCCTTTTCAACGCAGCTAATTTTCTATTTATATTTTACTAATATCCGCAGTGGGACAGCGGATTCCATTTCATTCACCCAAAACTCAAATGTTATAACGCAATGATATCGCAAAAGACGCAAAAAAACCTCGACTCAAAATCAAATTATTGTCTACTTCATATTTTCAAAAACTTTAATGAATTTTTGATTAATAAACTCAATGATTTCAAAGCAAGCAATGACAACACTGTACTAAAAAAGCATTTTTATCTTCAGCACGTGAGACTGTACTGGAGTGTTTTTAAATAATTTTAGCCCAAATGCTCTTGAAATATGTATGTATGTGTGAAAATGAAAAAAAAAAAAAAAAAAAAGCCCCTTTGGGCATAATCTAAAATCTTTTGGATTTTTTAAAAAAATTTATTTAAATTTTTATATATGAAAAAAGTAAATATAATTTATTTGTAACCAGTATTCAGGGTTCGTACGGTCCTTAAGAGTCCTTAAATTTTTTGAAATTGATTTTTGGTCCTTAAAAGTCTTTAACTTTGGCCAAAATCAACAGAAGGTCCTTAATTTTAATCATCTGAAATTTCTGTCTGTTTTTATGACTGCTATTTTGAGTGTGAATTAGCATTTTGGAGGAATATTTTTGGCGATTCACTGACATATATGGTTATCTTTTGAATGTGTTCATGGGTTGTAATTTGTTTCTATTTCTAATAAAAATTATGGGATATTCGAGTTTCTAAGCAAGAAGTGAAACATAAGCATTTCGAAATTCCTTTTTTCTAATAAAGAACTCTTAAACAACTTTTCACTTTTGGGGATGTGAATTCTTTTATTAAACAACTCTAAATTTGGCGACTTGTCAATATTTTGGTGATTTTAGGATCGGTTTCTATAGAAAATTTTTAATTCCGAGATCTGACAATTTTTGACCAGTTTTTTTAAAGCATCATAACATTGATAAATTTCATTAAAATAATGGTAATATATTGAAATTATATATAAAAAATTAAAATAAAACATTCTATTTTTCGCTGTCATATTATAAAGTTTCATTTTGGCAACTTATACAATATTATGAATCTGATAAATAACGCATATTGCTATAAAGCATAATTTATGAAACAGCTCTTAGCAAGAGCAAAATTAGCTATGCAATTCATTAAAAATGTCTTCTTTTTAATTTTTTCATAGTAAGCATTTTTCCCATCCAATTGTCTCGGAATATTCAAAATTCTCAGAATAGGCATCAGTTTTCTCTATAAAGTTAATTTTACACTTTTTCCCTCCTTCTTTTTTTTTCAAAATATTTCTGACTT